TTAAAAATAGTGGAAGAAAGCTGCATTATTTTTAATATTAAATATTTATTATACTCCAAATTTGTTATAGTTTGATATAATTCCATATATTTGTGTAAACGTAGACGTAAAATACCAATGACATACATACATACTTACATATGTACATACACACATTTATCTGCTAGACGCTATTTAATGAATTAATATTTTGTATGAATCGAGGAAATAATAGTTTAGCAACAATTTGTTAGGAAAAATATTTATTTAAATATTTAAAAAAAAATATTTTTCTATTTAAAATAATAAAATCTAAGCTAAAAATAAACTAAAAAAAATATTTTTTAAAAAAATAAACAAAAATTAAATAAGAAATAAAGAAATCTCCACTGCCCCACGACTCGGACTCGAACTTGGCTCTCTCAATTGGCGGTCTAGTGCTTTGCACACTCGGCCATTGCGCCCGATGGGCCAGCGTCAGCAAAATGACATACATAAATGTCTGTTGTTTCCTTTGCACTAACTGATTTCGAAGCTGGCAACGATATATTCGAGTTCACTCGGATTCAGTGATAGCAATTTTTTCGTATTCGTAGCGGGCATTTGAATTCAATGTCGCAATGCAACTAGTCTGGAATGGGCATTAATTCAGTTTCAAAACCAGTGTAGTGCTCTGAACTCCAATAAGTGCTTCCAAGTCTCACTTATGGAAATATCATAGTACGGCAACATTGTTGTTCCAATCAGTTGATTTTCTTCATTATTTTTTTTTTGAGATTGAAAAAGAAATTTGCAGTTTTCTAATTGATATCAAATTAGTTATACAAAAATATTAAAAACCGTGGGAAAATTTAAAATGAATTGGTACAACGGTAACATTGCAGAAGCAGTTGCTAAATCGAAGGCGAACAATGCAATTTTCGTTGTTTACGTTGAAGGTGCGTAGGAATGCTGGCTGCTTGGCCAAGGGAAAATGAAAATAAAAAAAATTTGCAGCGACAGAACACGTCATTCTTGTCGATAATTTACCGAAAATAAACTGATTTAGAATATGGCGTTTATTTTTTTTTTTTGCATGTCCACAGGGAAAGATGAGTCAACTACAAAACTTACAAATTTTATAAATAGTCAGAAAATACGCGAGAAGTTGGAGTCTGACGATTTTGTTGCTATAAAAATCGAAAGTGATAGCCAATCATATATGCAGTTCGCAACTATTTGTGAGTTCTAGACTTTGGAATATATATATATACATATGTTTATAAAACTTAAACAATTGCATCCTTTTAATCTCTCTTTTAATATTTAGACCAAGTAGTGCCAGTACCATCAATCTTTTTTATAGGAAAATCCGGCACCCCACTTGAAATTGGAACCGGCATTATTGCTTCAGTAGAGGAACTGGAAGAGAAAATTAATAAAGTGCTCACTTCTTCCGGTCGCTGTACATCCGCTGTGCACGCTTCGTCTTCTTTTATTGAGGCTGAACAAAAAGCTCAAAGTCCACCAGCTAGCAGCACTGTAACGAGCAAAAATGAACCAGAAGAAGAGGTTCCAGTTCTTTCTCTCAGCGCAGAGCCTTCAACAAGTAGTTCGACAATGGAGATAGATAATAAAGTTCAACATGCTGATGAGCAGGAAATAGTGTGCGATGGCGGCGTGTGCTATAAAAAGCCGAAAGAAACAAAAGCAGAAAAGGAAATTGTTGTTAACAAGGAAGCCAAATCGGCTATAGATCAAGTTGAGCAAAATGAAATGGATGCTAAGGTCCGACTAGAAGAAACCAGAAGAAATATGGAGGAACAAAGACGGAAGCGGCTTGCCGAAGAGAAGCAATTGGAAAAGGAACATGAATTGAGGCGTAAACAAGAGCGAAAAGAATTCCAAAATGCACAAGAATGGCAGCGTCAACACGAACTAAAAGAACTAAAGGTTAGATAAAGAAGATCTCATACATATATGTATGTCAATAATTCATACAATTTTGTTTGTTTTTTTAATTTTGTACCCAAGGATAATATTCGCCGTGAAAAACTCGAGGAAATGGCAGCCCGCGAAAGGATACGTGCACAAATAGCTGGAGATCGTGCTGAGCGTGCACAAAAATTTGCATCAATCGGAGAAGGAGCCGCTAATGCTAATGCAGCAACCACAAGTGCAGAAGATAATTCTAATAACGGTGGTGGCCCACTTGTTGCTCCCGACAGCACCCGAATTCAATTTCGTTTTGCAAGTGGTAATACTGCGACGCATGTCTTTAATTGCCAAGACACACTTGGCAAGTTACGCGAATATGTGCGTAACGACTTACTGCCTGGAACGGGCATAAAAGATTTTACTTTAGCTACAACATACCCCAAAAGAGAACTTAATGTCGAGCATGATGCTCAAACGCTTGCTGAGTTGAATCTGTTTCCAAGTGCAGTCATTCTAATAATTGGCAAAGAGAGTAAGAGCAGCCCAGCAGCTATTATTGCGCGTTCCGGTGGACTTCTGAATATGTTTACCACTTTAGTTATGACCATACTCTCTCCAGTATTTTCAATTTTCGGCTATATAAAGAATATAACTACGGGTGACAGGCGAGGAAATGATAACGAAACAGATAAAAATGTTGGCGCCGCTAAGAGAGCAAATGAAGAAAACGGAGCACATCATGATGCGTAAGTGCAAACAAATAAAAATAACTACATGACAAAATAGGGTATATCCGTTCTTTCAGTGCAAAGCGTCGTAACATGGAGCGTTTTGGTGGAGGCGGTATTACTGCAGGATCCGTTTTGGGCAACAATCCCTCTACTTCAACTGAGGCTGCTACTGAAAAAGGCGAAACAAAACCGTATCGCCGTTATGGCAGCTCGAATATTCATCGCTTAACAGACCATAAAGATTCAGATGACGAAAATGCGACTTGGAATGGCAATTCTACACAACAACAATAGATACTTGCATCCTTTTCTAGTTTAGTGTAGCTCATATAAAATTCTTTTTTCTTTAAAATACATAATCCTACAAAAGATTGATTTTAGAAATTTTACTATTTTAGATTATTTATACAACATTTAAAGTTTATTTCGCGTCTGGCAGGTCTTGCAAAGCCGAAGAAATCGAATTTTCGAATTTGGAAAAGTTTTCGAATTGAAACTTTTTCGCGACAACTATTTGTGTATCGTGTATCTTTACGAAACGCTGTTGTCAGTCGGTCAACTTGCTTCCGCTCATGCGAAATGCTTGACTTTCTATTTTCCAAATATGGAGTTTTTGAAATTATTTAAGTCTTTTAATCTTGAATTTTCCAAACCACTTTATTTCGAATATGGCAATTTTTTGTTTTTTTCGAACTGTCATACAAAATGCAACCCTTCCGTGCAACTTTTCCATGATACATGTTTGACGGTTCGTTTAGCAACATGTTTGTTGAATTTCCAAGGCGTTGCAACATGTTCTCTGCTTTGCTAGCCGTCGTCAAAAAGGGTGGCCGCAATCGTTAAAAAAACGGCGAGTGAATTGGTTGGCGGCGCGGCGTGTAGCAAAATTTCACCAAAAAATTTGTGTACTTATTTTTCTGCAAAAAGCAAACGCATTTCACTTGTAAAATCAATTAATTGGTACGAATGCGCTAAAAATTCGTTGCATTTTAGTTTCATTGCCTGTGATGCAGGCGGTAGGCAGTGCATCAAGTTTGTAAACCAGCAAAAAATTAACAAAAAAGCAAGAAAAATCGGTGTAAATGCTTGCAAAGTGTGAGAGAATCTAACAAAAAGCAAAGCAAACACAGTGAATATTTTATTCGTGGCTGGTTTTCTATCCCCTCGCTCTTCGTGTTTTTGTTAAAAATGTGGTTCGCAAATTGATAAAAAACTTTCTTGTTAACCAAAGTATCGTCCAAGTTCTTAGTGGATTACTAAAAAGTAAATTAAATAAATCGTTTGAAAATAAGTGAGTGCAGGCAGACGACTAAAGGAAGATGTACGTTTTGTTTGTTTGCAAGAAAAAAGAAAAATAAGTAAAAAATTCACCAAGTACACATATGTACACAAAACAGTAATCTGAAAAAATTGGTTACAAGCGGAAGAACGCGAAACAAACCAGAGAAATGCACCCGTGTTATTGTTGCTCCCACTATATTTGCGATGCTTGCCCACTCGCCGTCTCACAGCTGTCCCAACTTCAATTAAAGATCCATCATTTATTTACTTGCCTATCGACTGTTCAACTCCTGCACGTTGGAGTATTTTAATTAGTATCGGTATAAAAGTCGTTTATTTGGGCTTGAAAAGCGAACAAAGTTTAATACAGGAAACTATAAATGTGTAAACAAATCGCAAGCATCAACCTGGAATATCATCAGACGGCTTAAAAGAACATAGCCATATTTGTAAATCCGTGGGTGGAAAAGGACTTTGCGGAATTTGTATTCAATGTACATACATATGCAGTAGCAAGCATAGTGTTTTTAGAGGTAAGTTTGGGTTATATTTTGTCTTCACTCCGCTGATAGAAAAGTCTCTTCATTGAGCTGTTAAAGTAAATCATATTACAAGGACTGCCTGTAAAACTGTGAAGAAAAATGGCACCCCCTGGAAGTAAACAAAACGGCCGACAACTGTTTAGTTTTACTTCCTGTTCTGGTTTTGCCCTTTTTATGTCCATAAAAGCACATATATAGGTGTGTATGTATAAACTACGTTTCAGCGGCTCCGCTGCTAACTGCTCCAAACAGGGGATGCTGCGTCGTGAAAAGTTAAGCTCCATAGGGAGGTATAAAATAGTACAAAGTTTGATTTGTGATAAGTAGCCTAAATACATGTGTTCTTATAGAAGAGTATTTACATACATCCATAAATATAAATAACGTACATATGTATTTACATACATACTTACATATATATGTGCATATAGTTCAGAATTTAGTTTGCTCTGTTTATTCATTAGGGGTATTCTCGCAGTCTTGCAAAGCCCTTGCACGGTGCACGGTTTGTAAAGCTGTCTCCATAAGAAAACCGGCTTTTAACGCGCATTGCCTGCAACCCGTGCACCGAGAGCTTGCATTAAATTGTATGCCAATTATTTTTTTTTTTAATAAATAAAACGGTTTTGATAAAAACATATCTTTCTCTTTGTTACCTTTATCTTTACAGCTTTTAATCAACGCTTAAGAAAATTACGCTAAGTCAGCGCTCTACGTTAAATTCACTTAAAAAATAACCATTTATTAGATTTGTGTGAAATTTAAAATTATTAAGACAGTGTTTCCAAGTGTTTGTTCGTGTAAATGTTAGTTAAAAAGTGTTGTCAAAAGTAATCAATATTAAATAAGTATAAGAAAAAAGTTGAAATTGCATAATATTGCAATACCTACATGATATCAAGTTATGAAAAAATCTAAATTTCAAAAGTAGACTATAAAGTTGCTCTCCATCAATTTATTTGATTTATAAAATCAATTACCAGTATCGTGTCGCGCGCGCGCGTTCCATTCTACTACTGTTGTTGCGGGAAATTTTCATCAATTGTATGGCAATTTGTTGAATGGCGGCCATTGTTGGCCCCAAAAGGCAAACCGAAAGCGGAATAAGGGCCAATCCCATCCCCAATTATAGCCATAATCACAATAGCATTTATACACATACTAACCGCCATATTCGTACGAGCGTTAACAACTGTTTTGGCATTAGCACCAACTCCAGCGCCCAACAACAACAGTTCAGTGGTCATACAGCAGTAGTGTCCGTCGCTGCACCCATTTCGCGTCCTCGTTCGCGTATTTCAATGAGCGTATCAATGTCACTGGTACAGGGAGGAGCTGCTGGCGGTGCCCCACAAGGTGCCATTCTAGCTGCTGCAGCACCATATTATCAGCCACCTGCTGTGCCACAGGATGTGCAGCCGGATCGTCCCATTGGCTATGGTGCCTTCGGAGTAGTATGGTGAGTAAAAAAATTTGGCTATACTTGTATTAAGAAGTAAAAACATTATTATTTAGTTAGTAGCTCGGGAAATGATTTTAATACATACATATCTAGTATAAACACATGCACATACATACATACATGTGGAAGTGTAACTTCTTAGGGATTGATTTAATTGCAGCTGCTTGCAGAATTTGTTGGACCAAAAGCTTTTCCGGTATTCAGTTTTTGCATTTTCCAATATTTTACAACCATATCGTTTTTTTTTTTTGTAAAAATATGTATATCAAAATACTACGTAAGCTTCAGCCACCACCAAAAGATGAATGTAAAACTATCAACCACCAATTTTATCAGTGAAAGTGGTGATAATGACGCTGCAATACAAATGAAAATAACCGTGAAGGGATATCTAGTTTTGAATAGATTGTATTAACAAAGAGAGCCCTGGAACCGTTAATGCCCTCAAAAATATTCAAGAAGACAAGTTCTGAGAACGCATTGCAGCATAACTTTAACTTCCCAATTTAAATATGTTCATATGCCTCCCGTCTGGTTTGGAAGTCCATAGTACAATATACATATTATGTATCGTCCTAGACGATTAACGACAACCGCCTAGTGTACTTTGATTTGTTCGAATCTCTAAAATCTCATTTGATCCTAAACTGTTTTCCTCGGTTTTTATCTTTGTGCGCCACCACCAGCACTACGCGCTGTGGCTTGTCAAGCAAAGGTTCATTGCCTTTGCAGACGCACAGCAACTCGTATTCGCTTATAAATGGGGTAAAGCGGAGCGCGTCCCGGCAATGTTCGCTGTGCTGTGACTTCGAGTACAACAAAGTGCAGTGTTCATCACAGTGTACTTACTCTGCACGCCAAGGTAGGGCTTGGGCCATGAATGTAACGCACGTCTGTATGGGCGTGTGTGGATTTGTAAGTAGCGCTGCTTGCTACCCCTCGTTTCAGTTGCCGCCTATATACATAAGTAAATGTGGCTGTTATAATAAATGCTTTGCTTTTGCTGCTGCCGCTATAACATTTACAACATTCTATAGCAGCAGCCCCTGTATGTTCCTCGTTCACTGAGGGTTGCTTACACTAAATATTCCTGCTTAATATGTATGCAGTAAGTGGAAGAGCACAGTTTGCATCGGAAATTGTTTGTAAAAATTTTATTTTTATGAATTTTAATCAACTGCAATTCGGATTTAATTTGTAGACGTTGCCACTGCCGTTGCTGCTGCTGCTGCTGCTGCGCCATGCTGGCGAATATTTTCCTATTTTATGTAGTAAATGTGTTTGTACATGTGTAGTACATACATATGTAGTATGTAAGTACATTAGGCTGGTCTAAAAATACACAGGAAAATCAACATTTTGAAATGTTCCCGCTGCTAGCCCCAGAACTAAAGAATATCGAAAATAAGGACACTCGTATTTTTTTAATATTTTGAGATTTTCATATATTTTACACGGAGAATATAAATTTTGGTCGTAGAGTTGCTACCAAAAAGTTAAAAATAAAAAATTTTCAGATCGAATAAGCATATGTATTTCCTTGAGGAATCTTCAAAAAATTAATTTACGTCTCCACACATACATATGTATTTGACTTTGAAATTTTAATATTTTTCCCCCTGAAAAAAATTTTTAACCACCCTAATGTGCATTCATACGTAGTATCTATGTATGTGTTTATTTGCACATGTATATATTTTACGTACTGCGTCCTTCCCGTTCGGGTAATTATGCGCCTCTTTTGCTTTTTGTTGTTCCCGTTTTATTGTAATTGTGATGTTGATGGTTGGTTGCTGGTACTTTTTTTTAATAAAAAAATTGTTCATCAAACATTTTTATATTCACCAGTTTTTGCATAAATTATGAAAAGTGGCGAATACAGTTTTTACTTTGTGGCATGCTCATCTTTCATAATTTTCATTTAAACAACGCAATGCTCGAGTTAATATTTCGATTGCTGAGAACGGTGTGCCTACTGCAAGTGCAAAAAAAAAGTGTTTTAAAGTCAAAATCCCGATAAATTCCGAAAAATCCTCGGACAAGAATTTTTCGCAACCCGAAATCCCGGCATTGTTAAAATGTTTCGGGATTGAATGCCCTACACTACATATACTCGGCAAATCAACCAACAAACGCGAGCCTTATCGCCCGATAACTCTTCTTTCCCCGGTAGTGAAGACACAGGAAGCCTCACAAATCCCGTGCTTCTCCCGTCGAATGTAAGCCAAGGACAATTAAGTCGGTGGTACCACAGAGCTGTAGCCTCTCCCCACTACTGTCTGCATTATGAAGCTTCCCCAGTCAACAAAGAAAGTTTCGCCGGTTTTAAGCGCTGACAACTGGTCGATATTAGCGTCCGGCAGTAGTTTTAAAGACATAGCACTTAGCACAATCACTGGACACGACGTTGTACAAGTAAGCCCTTCTCTGACAAAAGTAAGGTATGGGTATTGTAGTAGACGGAAATCCTGCCTATCCAGAATTGATCTCGACCTACACAACCTCCCTAAATGGACTCAGCTGGCACGCTTTTACCTTTTGGTTCGACCTAATCGATACAGCATGGTCCGAATGTCGAAAAATTTCGAATTTATAAAAAAAAATCGACAAATTTCACCAAAATCTGATCGAAATTTTTTGAAAAAAAATGATAGGCAGTTTAAAAAAACTATTAAGGCCGTTGGTTTTTAGCAAGTTTTACAAATTTTTCCAAATTTTTTCCACACAAAAATTTTTTTTATATGGACCGAATGAGCAACACCTTCAACAAAAAATTGCCGAAAATCAACGGTAAGTCCTATACTATAACTATACTAGAATTTAATTGACTCCCAAACTGCCGCCTTAAAATGTTTCTCATCTAATTAAAAAGCTCGAAATTTTGATGAAACTTTGTCGAATTTTCATAATATTTGTAAAAAGTTTGAAGTTCGGACTTACGTCCCTACTAATATTATCGCCACTGTATATGCATTTGCTCATTCACCTCCACACTGCTGCACAAAAGCAAAAGTCATGCATAATTTTATTTATTTTTTTCTCTCTTGATTTTAAATTCCACATTTTTTCTTTATGGTTAATTACAAGCACTCGCAAACCACTTGATGCCAACGATAACATTAAAATTGTACAATAACTCCTTTAAAGCATTTAAAAAAAACATTAATGCGCAGCTACCAAATGAAATTATATATACCCAACCCAATCCAACCCTAAGCTAAACTCAAAACTAACCTAAAAAAAAGAGTATACTCAAGATCTAATAGAAAGAAAAAAATATATAAAATCTCAAGTGTCAGCGCAGTGTTTAAAGTAGGCAGAAAAAGAGAATTGAGTAAAATAATGGACAAAAAAAAGAAACGTCTACCAAACTCAAGCCGCCTGCTGAGTGCTGCAGTCAGCCGCTAGTGTGCCGCGGCTGCTACTTCTTTTGCAAAGCCCAAATTCAAGAATATTCTCATTGCCATTCAAGTGTAAAGCGGCATTTCCGGATGCAATCAGACGAAAACTGCTTGGAGTACTCAAATACCGTTCGCTAGCTGACTGAGACTGGAATATAGGCTGGTTGGTTGGTTGCTTGCTTGCTCGGCTTGTACCGATTGGCGGGCTGGCGGTTAGGCCGGTTGGATGACTGACTATGTAGCTGGTTGCCTTGCTAACTTGCCTGTGGCTCGCCAAAGCGAACCAACAAACGAACGAACGAAAAAACAACAAAAGGGCAAACACCAAAGGAAGAAAGTAAAGAAAATAAGCAGGAATAATCAACAACAAAAAAAATAAAAAGTATTAAAAGCCGCGTGGTGGCTCCGTGTTAAAGACCCAGACCAGGCACTTCGTTTCGTATGTTGCACCTACCCCCTGCGCTTGCGTTCGCGGCACAATTTAAATTCTGTACCTTATTGAATACTGCAGTGGTTCAGCACAATTGATATCGTCGTCGTCGTCGTCGCAGCGCGCCACAAGAGTAAAACCCTAAAGGCTGCCTTTACAAAGAAATAGAACAAAAACAAACAGGAAAACTCAACCAAACAGTGAGCCCCAAATCGTCGGCTGTCGCGCTAACAGCGCTGCCTGCCTAACCGACTTGCGCGCACAAAAGCAGTTGAAGCCTCAAATACAGACATTCTCATACACTTGCATGCTAAAGTAAGTAATAAAAAAA